GGGCCTCCTCTTGGTTGTGACAACAATGTCGTTGCTGACCTCCCCAGTGCGCAGGCAACCACCCGTACGTATTATCCACATTTTTATCATACACTGTGTTGCTGACATGAGAAGGGTTTTGATTGTTGAAGGTGATGTGTGTCTTCGCGGGTGCGGCTACTCTACCATTAGCTCCGCACTTCTGGCTGCGAACTCTGGCGACGTGGTGCACATCCACAATGGGGCATACGCAAACGAACCACTTAACATCGACGTTTACAGCAACATCACCATCAGGTGCACACCTGTTCCACACAGGTCTCTTTTTTGTTCTGTTACCAGAGTTAAGCTTGTGTCTCTCTACACACCAGGACTGACGGTCAGGTTATTGTGAGCCCACAATCTGACGCCAGCACTAAACGGCCTGTGTGGTGGCTGGGTATTCTGGGCCACATCACGCTGGAGGGCGACCTGTCGTTCATGATTACACCATCGGGTTACCTCGCGCCAGTTGGAGCTATTTGGGTGTTGTTACAGTTGGTCGAGGTGGTTCCTTCATCCAGCAAGGCAACCTTCTGTTCTCATTTAAAGGTTCGTGGCGTTGTATCTTGTTGGGCTTGTGTCCTGTACCTCACCTCAAGGTCTTGTTGTCACAGGCTCTCACTCATGCACTGCAATTGGTGTCCACGGGTATTGGAAGCAAAGTGGTTCACTCTCTGTTATGGGCACCTCGCAAGCTGGTATGCACCTGTTTTAACTGGTCACATGTGCCTGCTCATATCCACACAACCATCTTTATGGCTTTGTGAATGAACAGGCATTTTTGTTGCTGGCTCATGGTACCTTGATGCAGACACCCAAGTAACTATGGACCTCCTTGGACCGCGTGGATCGGGTACACCTCCCTTTCGTCAGGTTTTTGTATCACAATGAAACTCATGTCTCTGGTGCTGCCAGGTATATTCCTGCTTGGCGCTACAGTCTATCAGTATGGTGATATTGATATCAGTGCCGATAACGAAGCCATGGGTAAACAACTCTTAGTCCAATGGGGTGGGGAGGGTAGCTGTGCTCACTCCAAATATGTGAACTACGTGAATGCTCCCCAGCCATTTACTATGAGGGCTATCATGGAATGAAGGGTTGGGAGCAACATGGCAACCTCAACCTGAAGCTGACCAACCACAGCTACGGTATGCTCACTCATCATGCCTGATGGCTCATCCAGTCTTGCACTCATTATTTTACAACAAAAACAGCACTGGCATTTGAGGAAAGCATATGGTCATGCTCCGGGAACGTGACCATAGACATGGACGACACCTGCAACGCCATGGGCTGTTCGAGGAGCCCTGAGATTAAAGTTACTGGCCAGTTTTACGCGCGTGTGGGCAGTAAATGCTACACCCTTTCAGGTAAACCGCCGCCAACATCACTAGAGTGCTCACCGCCTTGTTCTTCGTCTCTCACAACTCTCTTTTAGACCAACAGAGCTGTCACACTCAAGAGACACCCTGTCTCCACAAGCCCCTTCCAGCAGCGCAGTGGATTAACGGCCAGCCCTAGACCGGTTGTGATCCTTTTATGGCTGAATACTGTGCGTTGTGCAACTCTTTGATGACCGGCACCG